TCTCTGACTCAGCCTCACCCCAAAACTGAATAGCAGTGTGTGTGCATGTGTGCCTCTCAGAGGAACTACCAGATATTTCTCCCTTCTCTCTCCCTCCTTTTCTTTCTCTAATAGCACTCCCCACACTCCAGACCAAGCAACTAGTCACTCACAGTCTGAGCTCATTTTAAAGAGCTTGGATTCAGTCCACGTGCAAGTTTTAGTTGCCTGTTAAATTTCTAATGCCTGCCACATACACCATTAGAACACTTAGATTTTTAAGACAGCATTGACTCATATTTTCTTTGGGTTTTAGCTGCTAAATAGACAAGCAGCATTCTTAATCCACTTTACTTCTTTTGCTGTTAAAAGGTTTAAAATGAAAGTATACCAGTATTAAATTACAGTTTAAATTACATTTTGTGTGGGGCCACATAATAATTAGCACAGTCACCACATCTCTGAGAAGATCATATAAAACTTTCTTCAGCTTGGGGCATCCTCTGATCCCTTGCTGTAGTGAAGTTATTGGTACAGGGAATACAGTGGGACAGTATAATAACAAAATGAAATGAAAATAATAAATGATAAATTACATTTGCAGTACATTTAAACCCTGAGAAATATGTTAAGTACTTTTTAAGTCACAGTTTGTATTACACTAGAAACTACTCTTTCTTAGCTTTGTTTTTGGATTCCCTGTCCCCTAGTACCTGGGCAGTCCAGTATTCACATACTTTTAAAGTTTATTGAGGCACAGCCCTGCCAAAGGCAAGCAGTGATCCAACTATGTGGAAAAGGACTCCTTCCATTCTCCAGTTCCCTGAAATGGCAGCACAATGTATTTCCAGTTCTGCTCTGTGTGGAGCCTCCTGCAAGTATACGTGGCTGCAATTTTTGTTAATGCTGCCAAGGACAGACTTTGCTTCAGTTCTTGAAACACCTTTTTGGCTCATGACAAAGCTTTACAGAATAAAACCCAGGAGTTAACGCTGACTCCCAGATCTCCAGTGGGTGCTGTGAGCCCAAGTGGAGCCGTGACCAGGGGCCAACAGTTGGGGCCATGTTGGCCTTCTGATAGCAGTAACAGGAGAAATACATGGAGGGTCCTTGTAGAAAGAAAGTGTTTCTGATATGAGAAAGATTGAGATTTAGGGAAACCAACTAGTATTTCCTGTCTTTGGACACTGTATTCCAGCCTTCCAGTCCAGCCCTAATGGAAAACAAGCATTGGGAAGTGTTGGTCATGTTGTTTGGGTTTTTCCCCTTGATTTGGAGTGGCCAGATGATTTTTCTGTGTGTATTGAGCTGAAGAGCCCACAGTCTATTTAAGTCTAGTAGCTTCCCTGCCTTTTTTTCATTGTTAATTATTAATGACAGACTGTGGGTAGTATTTGTCACTTATGTAGTTATTAACAGCTAAAACCATTTACAATGTTTTATTCTCATTATGGGCTTGAGAGCCTGATTTTGGTCTAAACTAAACAACACACAGCCTTTGAAGGGTTCCAGAAATGACACCTGTCCCTTGAACTGAATTCTGCAGCTGCTTCATGCACCTCTAATATTTAGGCCAGATCTGTATTTCGTGCATTTGTACCATTTCTCCTTGAAATAATGCATTGATGGATTCAAACACAGCCCACAGTGTAGAGCATTAGAACTCACATCTCTGTGCACTCAGAGCATGTGGAAACTGTTATTCCTACAGGTTATGCCACAGTGATCCTATGGGCCCAGTGTCCTTACATGCCCTGAGAGCTGCAGGAGAGAGTGGGGGGAATCCAGTCAATCGATGCCTGGTCGCTCTTGCTCCTTGACATCTGTCAAGTTGTCTGCTGGGCAAAAAAAGTTGAATCCTATAAGCTGAGCTAATTCCTAAATTTCTCTAACACTTTTCTCATTGCTGTCTTGTCGCCCTAATTCCTCGCCAGTGTCAGAATTTATGATTACGTGTATTAGCAGCGAAACTATTTCGCATGACATGGTCGTTTTGGAAAGCAAAAGGTACATTTTCCATTTGTGGAGTATTACTAATTCTAGGAGTAGCTGGGGATAAGTTTGAAACTTCACATGCTTAATGGATTGCAGGCAAGCTCAGAAATAAGGGACGGGATAAAGACTGAGCAGGAGTTGGGGTCCTTTCCCCATGCTCTCCTACCAGTCACCCACATGTCACTTTAAAAGCCCAATGTTATTGTTCATATCGTTTCTTTTTGTGGTTGATACAATTGATGCTCTCCAATTGTGCTCCGTGTGCTGTTAGCTGCAAGGGTGACAGCTCTCTTTAATGCTCAGCCAAGATCAGCAAGTATATTTGGTTTTCCTAATGAATTTTAAACAGAAGGGCCAATGATAAAAGGCCAGCATTCAGCACACGGTAAGGATCATTGTACAACAGATATAAATAGTCCAATTTAATATATGCTTAAACAATTCAGAACAAATCAAGCCCTCAGACAGAGCAGCACGAGTTCCCCAAGGAGCCTCACGTTCCTGAGGGTAAGAGCTCAACCCCATGTGCAGCTTTCTGGGGTGGCCTCATTTGTGGATGTCAGTCCCAAGACCGCTAATGACCGGCTGCTCCGGCTCCCCCGTCTGTCCCGGCGGCAGCAGAGCCCCGGCTCTGTCTGAGGGAGACACTCCGGAGCTGCACAGCCAGCGTTTCGTGTAGGCTGGGAATCGCTGCGGCAGATGAGGTAGCCTTGAGCTGTGGTCTCCAGCTCAACCACAGAGCGAGCACTGGATCCTTTCCAAAACAGGCTCCAGCAGTCCCTTGCTCCAGCACAGAGCAAGGAGCAGGAGTCAGGAAGCAGCATCATGTGGCACAAGGGATGGACACAGCCTATGGTCCTTCCACACTGCTCACACACACGTGTGCACACCCTGCAGGGCCGTGTGCTGGCCACTGGCACCCAGCAAAGCTCCATCCCGGGTGGCTTTGGCAGTGTGTGCAGGAGAAACTTCAAGTAGTTAGATCCAAGGAAGCCATTGTGTTACTATGTATATTATGCATTAATGAGAAAAAATGTTATCCTTTCAGTCTCCACTGCTTTAAAGCTTGGCATTGACAGCTCTGACATCACTTACTAATCTAGCGCTGTGAATTTGGAACAATGGCTTTTAAATTGCTCCATTTAAATTGCTCTTCAGTGGGAAATGTATGGAGTGAATATATAGAGTTGATTCTGTGAATATACCAGCAGGGTTCCCCCTATTTCCAGCTCACCATCTCCTTCTGTAAATACCTCAGTAAACACCCTGGCACATCCCATCTGCAGGATCACTTGCCCTTTCTGACAGTCAGGTTTCTCTATCCCTTGGCACTTCCTAGTGACAAATTATTGCCACAAGGCCTGATTCCAGTGTGACTGCTGCCCGTCTGCCCTCCTGCAGCCCCACAGCAGGTGTTGCTGCCCCCTTACTACCCTTTCAGCTCCAGCCCTATGTGGTGTTTCTCCTCACCCACAGGTGCCTCTGATGCCTCCCAGTAACTCCCTTGGCTGACTGGCCAGTACTGGGCCAGTAGAAGCTCAATGTTGAAACTGATTTCAAACTGTAGGAAAAGCCTGAGATCTTGTCCTCTGGACTAGCAAAGGATAGAGCAAAAGAGTATGATGAGAAGGCAATTTGTCATTAATTGGCTGGACACACTAATGAGAAAGGTGACAGGGTATAAGCCCAAATGTAGAGATGCTGGTTCATGTGTGCTCTAAAACAGACTTTCTGTGAATTTAGACAAGTAATGTGGGGTCAGATTTGTCATGTAGTTAATGCTGCCGTGCTGACAGGCTTAGCAAATAAAAACAAGCTGAAGTAAACACCAAAATACTTTTTTAATGATCTTGGTCCCCCTGCCTTTGCCTCCCTGCCCTGTCTACAGACTAAGAGCATTTTTCAAACTCGCAAACCTGATGACAGCCATCTGTACACTAATAAAGGGCACCATACAAACAGGTATGTGCAAGGGAACAGCCTTCTGACCACAGATCCTCTGAACACACAAATTTAGGGTCTCCAGTTACCCACGAGTGAAGTCACTGGTGGTTGTAGCAGCCATCGGAGGGGTAGGAGGCTGCCTGGAGGCAGCGACCAGCACCCTGTGCAGGGCCAGGGGAAGATGCTGGTGAATAGAGTCAATGTGGTGGAGGTGGCTGAGGGGACCTGGGCAAGCTGGCAGCACCAGCAGTGTGGTCAGCAGGGAACGTGGAGAGAGCCCATTCTCTGAAATGCTGTTTGTGAGCAAGGCAGGAGGAGAACAGAGGCTTTGTGCATGATGGACTTGATGTCTCTAAGGGTGCTCCAGTTAAGGCCTGTGACTGCAGAAACCTGCCTGCTGCTGCCCTGGCTGCAGCCTGCAATGGGAGGCAGGAGCACATGGTTCATCACGAATGAAGCCTGGAGAAGGCAAGGGCAGCACCTGGACTGCCTGGAGCTGCTGGAGACCTGGAAACCTCAACAGAAAGGGGCTTGACTGCTGAGGAGTGCGAAGTGCGAGGCAGCAAGTAACGCCCCACATGGGGTAGCAGGGCAGAGATGCCCACCCAACAGGAGGTCATTTCTGGGGCTCCCATGCCTGGGCAGGCCTGTTACTTCCCTCGCAGCCCTACTTCTTCCATGTCCGTGCCACCTCCCCTGACCTCAGACCCTCTCCTCCTCGCTCCCACCACGACCCCGCGGGCCGCGCTGCCGGTGCGGTGCTGCCGGTGCGGCGGGGCCGGTGCGGTGCTGCCCGGGCCGGTCCCGGCTCCTCCTCCCGGGGGCGGCCCCGGCGGCAGGTGGCTGCCCGGAGCAGGAAGCTGCCACCGCTCGGCCCCTCGTGTGCCGCCGCCGGGCTCGCCGCCCGCACCCGCCGTCGGGGGCACCCGCGCCCGCCGCGCCCTCCGCCAGCACAGCTTTTTTGCTTTTTTTTTTGTTGTTTTACCAGCTTTATTCCTCTTTTGTTTCCCGCCCTCTGACTCCTCCGCACTCGCACTTGGAAGGACACCGCCGGGGGTCGCGGCGGCTGCACTCGGGGTGCCCTCGACACCGGGCGGGCTCCGCTCCGCTCCGCCGCTGCCCGCGGGCGCTGCCGCCATGAGCGCCCCGGCCCCCGAGCCCGGCCCGCAGGACGGGGACCCCGGGCACGGCCCCGGCACGGCCCGGCCGGGCAGCCCGCAGGAGGAGTTTGACTTCTCCATCCTCTTCGACTACGACTACCTGAAGCCGATCGAAGGTTGGTGAGGAGCCGCCGAGGAGGAGCCGCGGCCGCGCCCCGACGGAGCGGCGGGGCCGGGCCGGGCGCTGCTGCGCCCCTCGGCAGCTCCTCGCGGGGCACCGCCGGGCTCTGCCCTGACCTGTCCTGCCCGGGGCCGGGCGGTGGGTGCCGGCGATGCGCTGCTCGCCGGGCCAGGCGCAGGTCGGGGCCGGGCGGTTCGGGTTTGGCGGGGCTGCTTTGCCCGGCAGGTGCTTGCGGACGGTCACTGCTTGGTCCCCATCCCGTGCTGCACTGTCTGAAAGCGGCTGTGGGAGCTCCTGTTGGTCCCAAAGTTTTGCACCCGGGAATGAGCGCAGCTGCCAAAGCCGAGGCAAAGGAGCTCGGCTCAGTTGGTCGCCTTGTGACCATCATCGTCATCGTGCTAGAGCGTGTGTTCTGGAAACTCAAAAAGGCCGCTCAGGCATTCGGGCTTAGAGTCCCGAGGAGTTAATTACCTGCCACGAGTTTGAGCCTCCTGCTTGGATGGCAGGGAGCTGGGTAGATCTAGTTTCCAGTTTGGGTCCAAACACCATAAGCTTAAGTTAAAACTAAGAAAAAAAAGATCTGCAGACTCTTCTACTTCTCTGAGCTTATGCTGTGATATTAAAAGCACCGTGCCAAGTGCTCCCTGACTTCCTAAATGATAATTCTATCTGTTGATGATAGTAAAAAGTGATACTTCCTTACCCATAAAATACAGATATGTGTAAACCAGAAAAAGCTGAAAGAAAGAGGACCCAGAGGAATGAATTGCTGGGATATTGTTCCTAAGATACATTCATTTGGATTCTGCACGGTGGACAGGTGGCATTTCTCTAGGGCATCTGAAGAGAGATGTTGTGTTCCTCGAGGATGGTGTAGGATGAGACCTTTGAGGCCTCATGGTAACATTAGTGAAACAGAGCTATTAGTGAGGTTTATTCTTTGTGTCCCTGTTTAAATATACAGATGTGCACCAGCATCAAAGCTCGGGCTGGTTAATGTCATCAGATGCACAAAGCTGAATTTTCTTTCAAGTAGATCAAATTGTGCTAAAATATATCCACGATGGTCAGTGATTTTAATGAAAATACATTAAATCTCAGTGAAAGCTTCAAATGCTGATTTGTTCACATCTATATAGTAAGCAGTACTGCTGTGAAGCCTTAAGTGGGAAGTTCTACAGAATATAATAGTACGTAGGCGGAGTGTAGAAAGTTTAATCTTCAAACCACATAAGTGCAGAGCAGTATATGCTTGTAGAAGTAACTTCCTTCTTGAGCCTGCTTTCTCCACATTTGAATTACTGGAAACCATAATTAATAGTAATTTTGTTTGTTCCAAATATGGAAATCATTAGCATAAAAAAAAAAAGAGATCACAACCATATATACCAGCATTGTAATCTGGAGAACATTCTCCCTGGCTTTGAAAAGGCACCAGCTAGAGTCTGTAAGCAATCCAGTATACATCCGTGACCTTTAATGTAGAAAAGATTAAAGCATGTTTACATGAGAACAGAAAATGTTCACATTTTGAGGAAGGACTTTATCCACATGCCGGTGGTAAATGATGCTCATTGTTCATGTGCGATTCTGGCCTCGTCTGAACTGCAGTTGAGAAAACAAGGCCTTTTCAGAGGAGGATTCAAAGTGGAACCAAAACCATAGGAGTGTCTGTGGATCCCAGCACTTCAGTCTGGTTCCTACATTCAGAGCCGGTTTGAAAGAGGCTCTGGTGTCCTCACGGCCTGGGCTGCTCCACCCACTGCTCACGACAAGTCCTCTAATAGCAAATCTCTGTGAGCATGCTAAAAGGGTTTTTTAAAATTAAAAAAAAAAAAATAAAGGGGAGGAGAAAGGAAATTTGAGGCTCTAGGAATGGACTGGGATGAAAGTTTATTTCTGATAGGAATTTTTTTTAAAGGTTGGGATTTGGCAGTATCCACCCAAACTTGTGTTTTAAAAGTAGGATCTATATCACAACTTGTTGCCATGGCAATGCCAGAAATATCGTTGCTGAAAGTGGCTGGTGTTCAGTAGTGCTTAAGTGTGCCTGAGACAACAGGAGCATGGAACTGCTATAAAAGCAGCAGGGAAAAGAAGGGTAAATAAAAGTCCTACAGTCAATATTATTAATATTAAATATTCCTCTCTAAGCCAACCATTTCCAAAAGCAGAAGTGCTGTACAAAGTGTCCTTTTCCCTAGGCCTTCTCCCCTTACTTGCCAGACTTTAATTAGCAATTATCTTCTCAGCATTTGCAAATGAGAAACACCTGCTGAACTCCGTGTGCCCAGGTGAACAGGATTTGGGGAGTGTGGGCAGGGCAGGTATCCTGTGCTGTTAAGTTGAAGCTGGGATTTGACTTGGCCATTGAGGAAGTTTTCTGTCTCCTTTTAAAGTAAAGTGTTAGATGCATTCCCTTGAGAGTTACCTGTGCAGGTGTTGCTAGTGATATCCCAAGTTTTAGCTTATTTTAAGCACGGCAGGTGCTGCATATCTTTGTTCCTCCGTGCAGAAGATTGACAGAGAGTTAATGAGCATTTAAAAATGAGCTCCTACAAAGAGAGCTCCCTGGTGAGTAAGTTCTGATAACTGCTTTGTGTATTCTTCCCTAATACCTGTTGTTGGCTACTATGAGAGACAAAATACTGAAAAGCTGCTCTGCTTCAGCAGCTCCCTTCATGTAGTTTTGTGGTGTTCACTCTGTGATGATCTGCTGACAGGTAAAGCTGTCACATAATTTTTAATTTTTGAGGTTAACCCTTCTGGGAGTTGATCCTCGGAGGGGTGTTTTGAAAATCCAACCAAAACTTATCCTTAAATAAGATTCCAGACAAAATCCTGCCCTGAGACAACAGGTGAGACTGCAGATGGGAAAGAGTATTTTCTCATGGGCTCAAGCCCTTGCTGTAGCTCAGCAGACTCTTACATTGCATCTGGTGATATGAATCTACAAAGTCTGTGTATATATAACACAGAGAGGGAAGCAGGGAGCATCCATAAATATTAATATTCCTCTAAATGCTTGTTTGTATGTAGACAGGCTCCCAGGGACATTGCCACGTCTTGTAGGTGTCAAGCCCTGTATAATTTGCCTGTTCATTTTTTTTTCTCCCAGATGCAAAGCTATTAAAAGGGAAAAAACTGAAAGTGCCTGCAGCTGGGTCCTGGCTCAGGAACACAGGAGGCAGTGTTCAGCCCTGCCGTAAAGAAACAAATATGCACATCTAGCAGAGAATTCCAGATTTCACTCAGGAAACCAGCTCTCACTTGGAGCTTCCAAGCAGTTTGTGTAAATAACAGACAACCCGGCTTTTGAAAAATGCAAAAGAGCTCTGCACTGGTCCCTTCAAATGACAATGAGCAAGTTAATTAAGAAAAAAATTGGCTCTTTTACTTATGCAATTAAGGAACTCCATTTAAATCCCAGGAGCTGCGCTGCAGCAAGAGGATATGAGGTCAAAACCAAACTTCAGTCCCTGCCCTCCCTTGTCCTGCACGTGTCTATCTTTAGCTTTTCCCAGATGATGGTTTGGATAAACCCAGCGTGGAATGCAGTTGCTTGGGTGATCTTTTATTCCCTAATTTCATGCTAATTGGCAAGGTCATATTTGGCTGACTGGATGACTTTGAAGTAACTGCCTTGTTTTAAAGCAGGGGAGGGTGGCCCTCACAGAGCTGCCTATGCACACACTGGTGTGGTCCTGGGCTTGAGGGATCTCTGGATCCTGGCAGGACCCAGCAGGGTTCTCCTTTCTGCCTCTCAGAGGTATGTGAAAAGGAGTTTTATAGATCAAGGCTTGAATCCTTTGAAACTTAAATCCCTTGATCTTTTCCACCTGTGATTTCACTCTTGGGTTCTGAGGGCAGTCCTGAGGGTACCTACCTGGGCACGCTGCCCAGCTTCCAGAGGGCTGGGGGAGCTGCCTGCACCCTTCCTGGACCTGTCTAGAGGAGCTGGTTTGTTGGTTATTTGCAATACAGTAGCTCTGCTTCCATTCCCTGTTGTGGGGAGAGAGAGGGAGAGGTGGTTTTGTGAACTAGCAACCAGGTAAATGCTATGGAAAAAAAAGGGGAAAAGCGAGCTGACAGCTTGGAGGCAGTTTGGGTGGGATCCTAGGGGGCTCGGGGCTCAGACTGTTCTAGGTAAGGGACATGAGTGATGCAGGGTAGGCTGTTTGCTGACAGTAAAGCTGAAAGAGAATGTGAGGAGGTGTCAGTGCTGTCTGGGTGAGAAACTTGCTTTCTTTTAACCCACTGTCAAACCAGAAGGATATTTTGGTACTGAATCAGAGGGTGATTCAGCAGTGAAACCTCAGGCTGGGAATGCCTGAGTGAAGGGAGATGGGAAAGTGCTGTAACTGCCCATGCAGGGGAGCTGTGCTGAGGCTGCTGTGGTGTTTGCTGAGATGTCCATCACAAAAGCAGTGAAGAGGACAGTCCTTTGCTGGAGTATTTCAGTCTGTGTTTTGGGATGCAATATGCAGGAATGGATGAACTGCTGAAGGCGTCACAGCCTTGGGTGCAAAACCTGCACCTCTGGGGAACATCTTCCCCCTGTCTGCCCCCTCTCAAACGCAGGAGCTTGACCCTGTCTACAAAAGCAAACTCCTGGTGGTGCTCCTTGCCTGGGGAGGCTGGGGTGTTGGCTCTGGTCTGTCCTCTCCTGGAGCAGATTCCTAACTCCAGCCTGCCTTAGCCAACTTGGCCTGGAGCAGAGTAGCCAGTCCCCTCCTGCTGAAGCAAAAAGCAGAATTTCTCCTGATTTCGGTGGAAGAGCCGTTTATTTCTGAGAGCAGCAGTTTCACCCCTGTGCCCCTTTTTCCCTCCCCGGTGAGGTCAGAGCTGCAGCATCACCGGCGTCTCCATGGTGACAGACCGTGACGTCACCGGCGTGGGCAGCAGCAGCCGGGACAGTGATTTCATTGTACCTCTGGAGTTCTGCAGGGCTGGGACTCGCTCAGGAGACCTCCCCAAACCCCCCAAGCCTGGCTCCTGACGAAGCCGTGCCGATGAGTCAGGGCCGGCAGCCTCTCCCCTGCCTGAGCCGCAGCCCCTGGGCATCGCTGCCTGGAGCTGTTCCCTGAGGTTTTGTCTGCAGCTTTGCCCACGGTCCTGCTTTATGGATGAATTTGCCATGTGGGGGGAAAGTAAATATTGTTGCTGTCCAGAAGCTGTGGGTGTCTGCTTGGCCAGGGGCTGTGGCCTGGGTGAGCTGTCCCAGTTGCAGGACCAAGGAGCTCTGCGGAGCTCTTCCCGTGAAGGCAAGGGCACGCTGTGGCTTGCTGTTGTGTGTAAACGTTGTGATTAATATCTGGAGCGTGGATCCTCTGGGAGGGTGAATGCCAAGGGTGAAAGTGCTCTTTTAAACACAATATTACAGGGATAAGCAAAGAAAATGTAGGTTATCTAAAGCCCAGTTTTTAGTGGGCAGTGGGTGGTGATGTTTGTTTGTTATTCAGAAGACTTTAAAAATTACATGTGCACATAGAAATACATGTTTGCTTTTCCCATATCCTTCGACGTGAATCTACCTACACTGGCTTTGCTGATGATACTCTGAGGAGTTTTAGTTCTTTACCTGCTGTCTGTGTTTCTGGCACAGATAAAGCAGTTTAAGTGTTCGATGGGGGCAGCTTTAGCTGTGGGTGTGTTGAAAGGGTTGCCCATTCCTTGACGTGAAGCTGTTCAGCCTGGAGAATTTTTCTGCAATTGCTGGTCACTGCACACATCCTGCCCTAAGCCCTGGCACCAAGCCTCACTGTGTTTGGTGCTGTTTTTGCTCCCTTGCATCAGCTGGAATCGGGGGGTTGTGCCTAGAGCAGTGGGAGTGATGTTTTGCGTGTCTGGGGGGGGTGTGTTTCTCTGCCGATGCCGAAGGCGTGACGAGTTCTATTAAAAGTGAATCTCAGCATCAATATCTGGGCTTGATGTGTCAGATCTGACTGATGGGGATGACACACTATTCCTGGGAGTGCCAAAGCTCTGAAATCAACGATGCTAAAAATATGTTCGGCTCAGAATTCGGTTGCTGTTTTCCCATCCCCAAAACAGCTGCGTGCTGGGATTAAAAGCCAGAGGGAACCTTAAGAAATCTGCAGGCTGGACTCTCCTGTGCATCTCCTTTCCTGTCACAGGCATTCTGTGTGTTGGTTTGTTTGCTTGGCTCTTGGGGTTTCCCACTAAACATGAAGGCTCAGCAGTTCCTGAAAACAAACAGAAACCCCCTGAAATTAAGTAAAAATCTCTCTGCCTGTAAAAGTTTCACTACAAACTTTTGCAGCCATTGCAGAAAGCACAGTCAGCTCCTACCTGGCATTATGCCCGACATTATTTTCTCGTGTCATGTAGGAGTTAGAGAAAATGCTGGAACAGTTATTTAAATATTTAAATGAAACCCTCTTCGCCTGTGGCACATACTGACCTGTGCCCATAATCCCAAACTGTGGAGCTGTTTCAGCTATTTCCTGCTGGATATGTTGAGAGCTTTAAAAACATATTAAAATCCTGATAGTACTTTGCATGCTTTTGTGTGATGATGAATATTATTCAGCTCCCAGGCTGGGGAAGCTCCAGGAGCTGATGCACATGATCTGTCCTGGGGATACCTGGCATGACTCCATTCTCTTGGATGCCACTGGCTTTAAGCACCTGATGGTGTTCTGGAATCAGATCAGAACGGGGCTCAGTGATGCTGGTGGGAATTCTGTGTTGCCTGGAAGCATCCCTGTGCTCTGCAAGTTGGGCATAGTTTGCAAGATGAGAATCTGAAAACTGAGGATTTTTTGCACCAGGAGAGAGGGTTGCACTGAGCACTTCTCTGTTACTCTGTGTTTTATAATCCCTCTCTGGCCAGTTGGGCTGGAATTGGAATGTGATTGCCTGTAACCATGGGGCTGGATCCTTTCTATCTCTCTTTTCTAACGAATACTTGTGAATGTGTTTTCTGATCATCTGGTGCATTCTTATGTGCAACCTGTCACCAAAACTTACTGACATTATATGGAGCCAAACAAATCATCACACAGAACTGGCTTTTTAATTTAATAGTTTGAGCTCAGCTTTGGTTGGTTTCTTGAAGAGCTTGGCTGTGTAAGAAAGGTTTTTCTCCCTTCACCAAAAGCTGTTCCTCAACCATTTGGTTTTACAGAGACCTGTTTGGAAGTGATTTTGTGATGTGATGGTCTCAGGCCAGCTCCTAGTTAACAAAATTTGACCAAAGTCACAGCGCCCCAGTTTGCCAAGGGGTGTATTTGGCAGAAAGAGCAGGAGGGCCAGCACTAACATGGGCAGAGAGGCTGACACACTGCTGACCCTTCCAGGTGATCCCTCTAGGTCAGGCTCAGGCAGTGTGGAGGTGTTTGCAGTGCTTCTGTCCATGCTGCACCTGCTCTGAGCACTTGAACTTCCCTGGCTGCTAATCCAGTACTTTTCACAAGCATTAACTGCAGTTAAAAAGAGTTAAACAAATATTAAGCTAATACCAGATCACAACCAGTTTATAAATATGCATTTTTTTTAATCCATGATTGCTCAGCTTCTGTAATAATATTTATAGTCTTAAAGAGACCCTTCTTTTTCCAGAAGAACCGACTCCACATAAAACCAACAGCCCACCCTCTGGAGTTACATACGCTCATGATGTCTTGGACTGTGGCCTCAAGCCATGCCCCCTGCCTTTTCCTAGCCTTTCTGCAGATCCCATGGGCAGATATGGACAGCCAGATAGTAGCATAGGGACAACACCTACACACCCTGCCAACGCTGCAGGGGCCTCTGCTCCGAGCCCTAGGATTGAAATTACTCCATATCATGAACTGATTCATTCAGGGGGTCCCTTCCGCAGCAGAGACACAGATGTTCTTTTGGTAGAACATCAGTCAAACTCAGCCACCACTAGCCCAAGGGTTACCCTGCCTGTCCCTGGCTTTGAGGGCTACAGAGAACCACTGTGTCTGAGCCCAGCTAGTAGCGGCTCCTCTGCAAGTTTCATTTCAGAGACAAATGTATCTCCTTGCACGTCACCATGTGTTTCACCAAATAATGGTCCTAGTGATGACCTTTGTCCACAGTTTCAAAACATCCATACTCATTATTCTCCTAGAACCTCTCCAATAATGTCACCACGAACAAGCATCACGGAGGAAACCTGCTTGGGACGACATTCACCATCAGCCCGTCCCAACTCAAGGTCTTCATCACCAGGTGCAAAACGGAGGTACTCTTGCACTGAGCTCTACAGCACTCAGCTGCCTTCCACCTCTCCACGGCAGTCACGGACCCCCTCTCCACAATCCTCTCCTCGCGTCCCCTTGAGAGAAGACAACTCTTCAGTTACTTACACACAGCTGGCCAGCGCTCCTCTTTCCATGGATGCTATGAGCAGCCTTCCTACGGATCCTTCCTGTGGTGTTCCCACGAAAATTTGGAAAACCAGCCCTGATCCTTCATCAATGTCTTCCCACAAAAACAGCATTTCATGTCACGTCTTTCAGACTGTTGACTTCCACGGGCCTTGTGAGCAGGAGGACAGGAGAAACTCAGCCCCAGAATCAATTCTGTTGGTACCTCCATCCTGGACAAAGCAACTGGTGCCTGCAATCCCTATCTGCAGGTAGGTACATCCTTCCCGTGGGAATGTGTTTTCTCATGTGTGGTGTCCTCTGTCATGCATGATGATCCCTAGGGAGTGTTTTCTTGGGCAGATCCTACTGCAGATCAGAGCTAAGTGCTCAGGCACAGCACTGGTTAATGGGGGCCCAGTCCATTATGATTCTGAGAGATGAATAAATCTGGATTTGGAAGAAACATCACCAAAATGGTTCACTGATAGCACAGTACACTGCAAATTCAAATTGCCAAATTATTTGTCTCAATAGCAGACTGCAGACAGCCCTTGACAAAGGCTGAAGAAAGCTGGTGCCATCCTGCTGCTTTTAAAGAAAATGATGGGATTGCTTTTGTAAATTCAGTCACTTACAAATTTCCATCAAGGGTGAAAATGCTTTAAATAATTCCTGATTCAAAATAGAGGACGCTGCTTCAAGTCAGACTGAGTGTTCAATCAACTCCGAGTGATTTACTGTTGGTGGTTAATTTGTTAATTGTCCCTCAACCCAAATCTCAGCCATTGGCACTCCCCTCATCAGCTCCATCCATTGTCTGGCACCAGTGGCAGGGCTGGACCCCGAGGGATGCAAATCTGCCAGGACCGAGGGTGCCAAGTGTGTGACTCAGCTCCCAGTCACCACTGCCACCCTGCCAGCCCTGCCATCCTGCTCAGCACCGAGGCTGTCCCCTCAATGACATTATTCCAGGTTGCTCCTGACCTGCTAAACACAAATTCTGAGTGAAAGAACACAGGCTGTGACTTCCCTTGGCTCGCTAGACTGGTTTCTGGCAGCAGCTTGTGCTCCCAAAATAAGAGTAATTTGAAATCCAGTGCAAGCTCTAGTTGTACATTTCAGTGTATTCATTTCATGTTATAAACCCTTGTGTATTTTTGTAACAGGAAAACTAGTGTCAGGTAAGAATATTTAGCATTTTATTCACGTGCATTTTAATATTTATGGAAATCATAAAGGTTATTAATTTGCACGACCGGTAGGTAATGGTAAAAGGAGTTAATATTTCACAATATGTATTCTGTGATCAAAGTTTAAGACACACAGCAAAAGCTAGATAAAAGAGGGGGATCTTTTAAAAAATAAAACTGCTACAGGTATTTCTGCATAAGAAATATAAATATTCTCTTCTGCATGGAGATGAGTGCTCAGAAATTACTGTCCCCACCCTGAATTTCAGCAGAGTTTGTAATCAGATGTGAGCAGGACAGCATAATGTCGTCGGAATTAATAGCAGACTCCTAAATGGTTCAGCAAGAGATGCCGCGGTGGGGCGCTGGGAGGGAGGTGGGGTCAGGGCTTTGAGAAATGAAGGGCTCAGGAGTTTCACTGGGGTGTCCTCTCTCTGCCCAGTCTGCCTGTTCAGTCGCTCCCGCCCCTGGAGTGGCCCCTGTCCAGCCAGTCTGGCTCCTACGAGCTGCGGATCGAGGTGCAGCCGAAGCCCCATCACCGCGCCCACTACGAGACCGAGGGCAGCCGCGGCGCCGTCAAGGCTCCGACCGGGGGCCACCCCGTGGTCCAGGTAAGGGACTGGGGAACACCTCCCTAGAGGAAAAGTGGCAGTGAGTTCATTTCTGAAGGGCTTGCTGGGGGCTGGCCCTGAAAGGGGAGGACCCTGTGAACCTGGGCGTGGTTGTGTTCGAAGGGTCTGAAGCTGAACTGTGGTGAAGTCCAAGATGTTTGGAAGGTTGGTTTGGATTAGCTTGTGAACGCTCAGGAGCTTGGGCAACGTATTTGTCACCTTTCCTTGGCTATGTGTTAAACCTCCTGTGATCCAGCTCTCATAAGATGCCCGGTTATCCTGAATTCCAGCTGAGCCCCGTTTTACCTTGACAACAGACTCTCCTGTGTAAACGAAGGCTTTTCATGAGGTTCAATATATACAAACATCAAACCTGATTTTCCAACTTGTCGTAGCTCAGTGACCTCTCAGACTCAGATTTGAAACAAGTGGCAGATGGTGTCAGATCTGCAGCCCCACGTCCTCCTGCTGGCGGTGAATGAGGGTTTTGGAGCCACAGCCACCCGGGGCCACATCAGTTGTTTCCCTCATGTCCCCCTCATTTCAGCCCATGTCTCTGGGCAGGAAAGCCAAAGCCAGGCTGGTGGTGTGATAGTGCTGGGGATGATGTGTGGACCTGGCCACGTTGGCCACAGCTACAGCTTTCCCTGAGCAAAGTTGGGGTGCACCCTGCAGATGTTCCTGACACACTCAGGACTTGCATGAACCAGGGAAATATTGACATTTATGCTTAATTTTAATCATGTGATCAATACCACTAATTTCACTGGGTTGATTTGTGCTTAACTCCAAACATATGTTCAGTATTCCCCTGCAGGCTCAGCCCCTTTTAAAATCAAGCCATAAATTGTTAAATCAAGGAATTAAGTTTACTTTGGTTGAGCTGGACTTGCATGAATGGAGTGGATATTTGAGTAAAGGGTGCAGGATAATAATAAATAGCAATCACATTTGCCATACCTCGATATATGCAGGCTTTTTAGTTTGAGTCTGACAAGCTCGTAGCCCTCTGTGGTGTGTTTGAACCTACCTGGACATAGGAATGATCTTGCCAATCAGCACTTGCTCCTTTCTCAGTTTGCTTACAAATACAGTATCATTTACCTTCCCAAGGTAGTCCTATCAACTGGATATTTACTGCAGTGAAGGAGTTTCTCTTGACATGGGGAAATATTAATAATTTGTTTCCTTCCTGTAATCAATATCAATCAAAGAGGGATTTATATTTTCTGTTGGGGGCAGGATCCAATACTCCTAGTTTTATCATAATTTGCCTTCAAGCTTCAGGGTCTAAAACTATAAATTCAAATGTCCTCATGAGTTTCCCAAGCAGATGTGCCTCTGCACAGCTGTTCCTGCATCTGGGGAAAATATGGACAGTTTCTTTCTGAAGGTTTATTGTAAAGCTGGAAGTATTTGTTGGATTTGTGTTCACTTGAACATAACAAGGTTCATATGGATGCTGAGCAATGAGATAGTTGCACCTGTATGTTTTATGACATTTGAAACTGGGGGAGGCTGGTAAAATCCAAAGCTTTCATGTCAGAAGTTATTTGGCTTCGAAGTTTCTTTTTTTTTTTCTTTCTCCTTCTTTCCCCTGAGTGAATTTTAACTTTTGCATCTTGTCAGATGCAAACAGAGAAAATGAAATAGGAGAGATTTTTAAAAGGTGGGTGCTGTGTTGAGGGAGGTTTGCGTGACTTAAAGGCAACTGGTTGCAAGGCAGTTAAATTGGTCTTCCACTATTTTGATTACCTTTTCTAAAATACAATGTATTTTTTTAAAAAATCTGAGTTTAAAAGAATTTCCCATTAAATTAACCCTCCATGTGAGTAATTACCAGCTGAACCTTCCGGAGGAAGAGATGTTGGCTGGTTTTTGCAGCACGGTGTTGGCCTGCAATATTTTTTTTTTTTGGAAACTGCATTTTGCATGCAAGTTTCTTCTTTTGGGTGCTCTGAAGCTACAGACCAGCAGATCTCATATCCTCCAGGCCTTATCTTGTGGTTTATCTTTCTGATGCTGCTTCCTCTTCTTCACGTGTCAAGCCCCGAGAGTTTGTGCACAAAGCTCTGCACCAGCTGTACGCTCCAAGCATGGCAGAAGAAGAGTCTGGTTAATAAAACCTCTGGCCAGATGCACCACATGCAATAGGGCATTTACTTTGTCTGCCAGGAGGAGGAAGAGAGAAGCCATTCATGACATCATCTAATTTTAGGCACCATCTGGAGTCACATGGAGAAGCGTAGGCTCCCGGTTTTAGGTGGTTTTGAGTCACTCTTGGGAAGAACCTACAGCTTGCTGTTAATTACAGAGAAACTCATCTAGCAGGTCCACCTGGTCACTAAGACCACAGAGAAGGGTAGGCATGTTTGATTTCCTGCTCTTTTTCACCAAAGTTGAAGGACAGCTGCTTATTTGTACCCAGCTGCTCCAGTCAAGGCTCCGGAAGAGACCATCCAGTAGCAAAGGCAGTGACTGTTCCTGTGTGAAGAGCTTATGGAAGTGATTGGGATAGAGGTAGCAGTCCAAACACAAACCTAGCCTGTAATGGTAAAAATTCAATACATTACCCAACTTTTTAGCTTGGTACAGCATCCAAATGTAGACCAGGGCTACAAAACCCTAGTTCCCAAGTGGAGGACAATGGTGGGCACAGTGTAACCCTAACCCATCCTGTGCCTGTGTGTTCTGGTCTCCTCCTCAGTTCTCATCTTCAAAGCAAGAAAGCTGTGCAGAGACCCAACTTTCCTCTGGGTTTTAACTTTTGAAATTGTGGTGACTTTCACTGCCTCTTTTTTTTTTTTTCTTATTAAAAAGAGGCTGGAATGGCAGAGTTGTTAGTGGAGCTCTCAGGAGCTGCTTTACAATAACAAACGTATGTTCCACTTTGCTTTTATATTTGAATTTTGCTGTATGTGTTTTCTTGTGGTTTCCCAGTCAAAGGAGACCTTGTTTCTTAGCCTGGGCTTCCCATGGGGCTCTGACTTTTAACTGTATGTGACTTCCAGCATTCAGCTAATTCATTCGCCTATTAGTGAAACCTTTGATGGAAACTCAAAACCAAATCACAGCTTGATGCTGTGATTCACACTCTCACGCGTAGGGCTGGGCTGGGGACACGCTCCTGCTGAAACCCCAGCCAGCCCTTTCATGGAGATTTACTGCCGAGGGCACGTCAGGGGAGCTGAGTCTGTCCTTTTCCTCCCACCTTCCCACCAGCAAAAGCGAAGCCCAGGCTGTGCTGGACTCATGTGGCAGAGCCAGCTCATGCTCTGCAACATCTTTGTGCCATTCTCGTGGCCTTCACTTCCTGAGTGGGAGCTCGGCAGGTTTTGGCTCTTGCAGGGGTTTCTGTCCCCAGCCCAGGAGCAGCGTGTGACAAACTGGTGCACGTTTCACACCTGATTTACCTGCAGGACCACGGGGCTTGTTTGCACAACTGTGATCATTGTAGGGGCCTCTTGAGCTTTGAGCTCGTGGGCTGTGGATATATTTACTGTTGTTATATGTGCTATTGCAGGGATTAATGTGCAGTGATGAAAATGGGGATTTTAGCTACATCTGGGAAATTCTCTTCAAAACTAATACCCCATCAAATGTAATGGCAGGTCAGTACTGTACTGTTAATGTGGCTGTACCTTGAGATCTGTCTATCTGAAAGCTCAGGGAAGCCATTGAGGAAATGAAATTGCTGAATAAATCAAAAGTAGTGTAGGGAAACACTGGACTGGAAAACAGGGCAAGATTAGAGGACGAGCTGACCTCTATGCTTCTCTAACTAGTGCAAGAAGGGGAGTGCTGGATAACAGTGAGGATAATGAGCTTCTGGGAGAATTTAACCGGAGATAAGTTGCATGCTCTGTTGCTTAAAGTCTTTAAAGTGGGTGTGCACCCCCCTGTGTGAAAGGGACACTGTCACCCAGATGTGGCTGAGTGTGTGCAGCTCTCTCAGTCCCTGAGAGGACAGGCAGGGTGCAGTTGGGGTGCAGAGGTGCAGGGCAGAGGGTCAGTGAACCCCGTACCCCAAGAGAGCGGTGGGATTTTCCCATGTGCCAATCTGCTTTGAGTTAGAAGTGAATGAAAAGCTCTCCCTGAAACTTTTGAGCCCAATTCAGAGTACATTGCTTTTGACAGGAAAGAGTTTTGGCAGAGGTGAGGGGAAGGAGGATGTACTAACTGGTTTGAGGGTGATGCCTGTGCTATGCAGATCGGATTGTGTGGATTGGAAATATGCCTGGATTAAGCAGATGCATGATTTAGGCTACTCTTTCATGTAGGTTTTCACTGGAGAACTGTTCCATGTTTCCAATGAAAGCTGGAATTTCTGGCTGTTTGCCATGAACGTGGACACTTCCAGTGCAGCAGTAACACCAACATAACTCATCCCATTCAGGACGTGCTCGAGTATCCACAGGAGAAGTTCACACAGCGTGGACAGTGTCCTGTAAACTCACATCTGAGCTCTCTGTTCATGGGCTTCACGGTCCAGCTAAGCCTCCAGTTTCCTCCCTTCCTCTCTCAAGGCCAATGTCTGTTGAACTGGAAGTGCCTCATGCCAAGCCAGGGCTCACATCTGGGTCTCCCCGTGTCCAGAGGGAGAATTGTGCTCACCAGGCTAGGGCTGTTCAGGGGGCACTGGACTCCTCCTGCCTGCTCTATGAAAATTTTCTGGAGTCTCTATTTCATTCTGAAACAATTGTTGAAACCCTGATGCTTCCAGCAGACCTGAGTTATTCTTTCTCTAATCATGTCTTGTCTTGTGGGTTTCAGCATGAGAAGGAAATTGGGGAGGGGAGAGGTTCCTGGGGTTGCTATTTTTTCTTCTTTTTTCTTTTTCCCAAAAATGCTTTTTTGCCAAGATCCTTTCCAAAATCTGGCTGACATTCAGTCCAATAGCCAGTGCCTGAGCAAAGGCCATAGTGTGGTTTCTGGACCCCAAACCTGCTTCACAGGAGGCTCAGCACTGAGCCCTGGCAGAAGGGTACTTGGTTCAGTGC